ACATCAGGCTGGTTCCTGTCAACCCGACGCGGTCATATGGGGGGTGGGGGGAATGAATCCTGAGTGTATCCTGGGAACCAGCCTGGCTCATGTCACGTCCTGTCAGCCGGGAGTGGCCTGACTGGACCAGGTGGTTGCTTGTCAAAAGGTTTCCAGGCCTGAGTCTTTGCAGTGGAGGGATGTTGGGAGGGGACGGAGGGAGAAGGAGAGGTGGGGGCTGGGCGCCTGGGAGATGTGTGCCCGTGGATGAGGCGTGATGGGCCTGACAATAGAGGCCCCCAGAGGGCGGCTGTGTGGGGTTATGCCAGCCTCCTAGGGTCAGCCTCCTCCAGTAGGTAAGGCTGGAAGGATTAGCTTAGGCCAGGCAGGTACCAGCTTACCGTAGTACCTTAGTGTAGCCAGAAAGACCCAGATTACCACCCTCCTAGGTGTCTAGTCATGGTGGCAGTCACTCTTGCAATGGCATTCCAGAGCTGAGGTGCCAGGTGGGTGCAGGAGGATCAAATAGGACTGGGAACAGCATCCTGGGTGTAGGAAAGAGCAAAAACAGAGGCTCTGAGGCCAGCAGGACTTAGGCCCAGCACATATCAAATGAATAGCAACAGAATGAACCAAGATCCGATGAGCATTCAAGAAAAGAAACCCTGGCGGGGGTCTTGGGGGCTCCTGGAGGGGACAGCAGAGGTTCTGGGATCAGTGTTTGCTCTTTGCACAGAGCCACCAGCCTAGTGGTTCTTGTCTCATCATGTCTGTCACTTGTGGGTATCGTCAAAGGTGTCATCTTGACTCCCAGAAGCTGAGGTTACTGTAGGTTACTTCATGCTTGTGGTGTGTGTGTGTGTGTGTGTTGAGAGTTAGCTATGGGACTCAAGTGCTACTTGGTTATGGGGAAGGAAAGATCTGGGAAGAGTCCTTGACAAGAGGATGAGAACTTGTTACAGATGAAGTCTGGGGCCTGGCTACAGCCCTGACTCTTCCCTCTGGGGCTAGCAGAGTCAGACAAGGGGCTGGTAAAGCACCTGGACTGTTCCAAGGCTTCATGCTCCACACGTGCCCCAAGGACTCCTTCATGTCCATGAAAAGGAGAGGCTCTCCCTGTAGAGGGATGAGCCTGGCCCAGGCTTCTGGGACTCATACACAAGAGGGTGGTTGAGGGGAGTCAAGGTCACAGGCTTAATTGTTCCCACGGCCATCATGCCCAGCTTGAAGGGGCTGCACGCTACATCTGCCCAGCTGTTTGGCAAATGTCCTCCCTCAGTCACGAAGCTCTCTTCCCTCCAGGAGCGATGAACCCCAGGGAATGAGCACAGCACATCTGCAGCCTCTAGCTTGGTTGACAGCTTGGAGCTGGGGTCAGAATGACCCCGATTCCAGCTCCATCTCTACTGATCCCTGCTCATAATTCCTTGGTCAGGTCGCTTTGTCTTCCTGGACTCAACAGGAGACTTTATTGCTAGGGATGTGGCTCGGTGGGGAGGGCGCTTACCCAGCATGCACGAGGCTCTGGGTTCTATCCAGCACTGCAAAAACTGAGCAAGATGATGCACACCTGTATCCCAGCAACTCTGGGGGTGGAAACAGCAGGATCAAGAGTTCAAGGTCACATTCAGCTATGTAAAGAGTTCTAGGGTAGCCAGGGCTACACGAGACTTTGTCTCCAAAAACAAACAAACAAACAAAAAACAAAACAAACAAAACAAAAAAAAATTCCACCTCTAACAACAATGGAACTGTGCCTGTCAACACCATTGCCATGGCCCGTATCCCAACCCAAAGATAATTTATGGAAGTGAATTTTTCCATGTGGTAATGTGGAACCCAAGGGAGGGGTTTGGTTCGTGAGGGTGCACCCTCAGGAATGGGTTCTTAGCATTTGCTTCTTCCTGGACTGGGGTCGTTCTCCTGAGATGAGCCCACCCTCACGCTCATCTCTCCAGGGTGCTCCCTTCCCTGTCTGCCATGTGATGTTCCCAGAGCCCCCAGCAGGTACTGTAATACAGCCTTGGAGCCGTCAGCCTCCAGAGCTGTGAGCAGAAATAAACCTTTCTTCTCAACAAATCTAGTAAAAAGCTAGTATAGGGTGTTCTGTGACAGCAACAGAAAAACGAACTAACGTAAACCAGCCAGTGCTAGCAGCCGCAGCTGGAGGCACATTGTGTCAGGAAGGGCTCACATTGGCACACAAATGAAGCCACTGGGGTTTTTGTTGTTGTTTAGAGGCAGCTGTTGCAGACAAGGAAAGCTAGGGAGGATGAGGGACCCACAGGTAGACTCCCAGAGGGACAAACCTGCTGTCCTGCTCTGTCTGGCCCTGTATTCAGGGTCCTGCTGGAAGCAGGGTGTGAGAGTGGCTGACCTACCCAGGAATGGCACAGGCAGCCTTCACTGTTGCTCCCCTGCACAGCTGGCAGGCAATCCCTGGGTAGACAGCCTTTCCTGGGTCTTAGGAGCTGATCTTGCTCTGGGGTTGAGGACCAGGGAAGGCAAGGTGGTGTCTACCGAGATGCATGCATGTTTGCTCACTGGGGCAGGAGGACATCAGACAATCAGGCAGCTGCTTTAGGGTGACAGGGTCTCCCAGAGGCACCCCCCTCTCTCACAGGGTGGGCTTTCCCAGAAGCCGGCTGGTGGAGGCTGAGCTCACGCTCCCAGCCAGGGCTGCCCAGGTTATCAGGTTAGCACAGTCTTGTACCAATAAAGTGGTTAAAAACAACTGTGTGTGTGGAGACAGGGTGGTTCAGAGCATGTGATGCTCTTCCGAGGAACCAGGCTGGGTCCTCAGCACCACGTGAGTTGTGAGCCACCTCACAACTGTCTGTAACTCCAGCTCAAGGGAATCTGATGCCTCTTCCGGATTCTGAAGGCATTTGCACAGGTGACACACACACACAGAGAGGCATACATACACATAAATAAAAACACGTCTTTAAATGAACTGAGGAGATGGTTCAGTAAGTAAAAGTGCTTGCTATGCAAGTGTGAGGGCTGGGGTTCAGATCCACAGGACCCAGGTAAATGTCAGGTGAGTGTGGCGGTCCCCATGCACGGGAGACAGAGATGGGAATCCCTGTAGTGAGCTGGCTGGATTAGCTGAGTAGGAGAGCTCTGAGCTCAACAGGGAGATTCTACCTCCACGGCTAAGGTAGAGAGCAATTGAGGAAGCTGCCTGATGTCAACTTCTGGCCTCCACATATGAATACTCACACACATGTGAATATGTTTTTACATGCATGCACACCATACATATATACATAGGCAAAAGAAAATAATTTTGAAAAGCCACTGACATAAAACATTCAAAAAAGAAAATCAAACAAAAAACAAAAGAGGAAGCCTTCAGCTGACACTAACATTCGATCTTGACAGGTAGAACAATGGAAAAAACCATCCATGTCCTTTCAAGGAAGGAAGGGCAATAACTCATCACCTATCATCTGCTTATCTAGTCACCCAGCCACCATCTGTATCTCCATCCATCCATTATCTATCTGTCTGTCTGTGTATCCATGCATCCATATCTATCATCTATCCATCCATCAATCCATCCATCCATCCATCCATCCATCCATCTATCTATCTATCTATCTATCTATCTATCTATCTATCTATCTATC